CAGTTGGCTGGGGCGGGGCCGGCGGCGGAGATCGGTGCCCCTCTCCTTCCTGGGGTCATCCGCACCCTGTCAGGGTACCGGGTGGCCTCCATCCCCCCGGGGTGGCCTCTGTCCCTTCCACGGCCTTGCAAATCCCTCCGCCGCTGCAGGGGTGGGGCGAGCTGAGCACTATCAGAGGGTCCCAAACTGGGCCTGTTGGCGCACGCCTATGATCCCAGCACTTAGGAGGCTGAGGCGGGAGGGTCTCAGTGAGTTAGAGGTCAGCTGGGCTCCACAGTGAGTTCAAAGCCAGCCTGAACTGCATAACAAGACCCTGTCTCAAAAAAATTAAAAAAACATGGGCCGAGGATTTAGCTCAGTGGTTCTGCTGCCTGCCTGGCAAGCGAGAGGACCCAAGTTCGTCCCCGGTACAAAAACAGAAGAGGGGGTCCAGGCTTTTGCTTCAGCTTCCCCTAGGGCCCCCTCACTTCCAAGGGGGGCAGCATTCGCAGCTGTGTATCGAACTGATGATGTCAGCCCCCAAAGACACTCAACATGCTGGAGAGCTGCGACAGTTTTATTGCAGCTGTAACTTAAGTCCATCCCTATTCACACTCCGAGTCTCAAGGGGTTGGAGGAGGCACCCAAAGGAGAGGTCCTGTCCCCAACAGAGTCTGGACATGGGATCTGCCCTTTGCAGGGCTATGGGCTTCTTGGCGCCTGCGACCTGTCTCTCCCCCAGAGTCTGCACTCTGGACCAGGCTGGCTGCTCGGCTCTTCCTTTAGTCCTGGTCCTGGGGCCACTGCAATCCCGGGCTGCTCCCGCTGCACCTGTCAGTGGGGCTTGGGGACATGGCCATCCACATAGAAGTTCCTGGTGATCTTGGGCAGAGTGAACTCCGCCCCCTCCAGCTTGGGGGTCAGCACAATCTGGCAGCCCAGGCGGGAGTTCTCCTGGAGCAGGGGCGCCATGTCCAGCATGTCGTCCTCCCTGGGGAGAGGAGGGCACAGTTAGCAGCTGGCACGCGGCCCGGCGGGAGGGAAGGTGGGCAACCCTGGGAGGGAGGGTGCCACGGTGAGTGCAGGCCTGGGGGGGCCTCTGGGCATGGGGACCCCGGTGCTTGGGGAGGTGCTGGCCTGCTCACCGCTCCTCGGGGGGAGGCAGGAGATCCAGGTGGGCCTCGCTCACATACACGTGGCAGGTAGAACATGCTAGGGAGGCTTCGCAGGCCCCTGGGGCAGAAAGAGAAGGAAGTGACTGACAGGGCAACATCCGCAGTGCAGGTGTCACGAGCCCGGCGCCCTGCTGCTGGTGCCATCTCTCTCCCTCCTGGGCTGGCTGCCACTCAGTCCTTTACCCAGCTCTCTGCTCCTCAGCTGCCTGGAGGTTTTACAAGCATGTGGCGGTGCACACCTGTAATCCCAGCACTCAGGAGGCTGAGGCAAAAGGCTTGTGGCAAACTCTCTGGCTTACAGAGAGAAACCTTGTCTCAAAAACCCAAAAAACAAACAAAATATTCCAAACAACAAACACAAAGGGTCTGAAGACATGTCTAGGGTGTCCCAGGATGGTTGAGGACCTGGCTATATGGAGCCACTGGAGAGCATGGACACAACTTCCGCAGCCAAGAGGGGACCTGGGAAGCCTTGCTGTGCCCCTCACTGGGCCCATGTGCTCCTGGGCCACATCCTGGCTGGCTGGGAGAAGGGGCAATGTCGAGCTACAGCGGCTCGGACTTCTGCTGCCCTGGTGACCCTTGGACCGGTCACCGAGAACTGTGACTGGGGAAAACGGGCTTCCTTGTCTGAAGCTCTGCAGAGGGTGTTCACATACAGCATAAGAGCCAAACCCTCCATTCTCATTCCAGATGAATGAGATCTGGTCGTTCACTCTTTCACTCACACTGGCCTCCTGATACAATGGATTACATCAAGTCCATCCCTCCCCAGGGCCTTTCTACTTGCTGAACCTACATTCCAGAATGCTCATCTCTCCAATCTTTCCCTGAAGCTCTGCAGAGGGTGTTCACATACAGCATAAGAGCCAAACCCTCCATTCTCATTCCAGATGAATGAGATCTGGTCGTTCACTCTTTCACTCACACTGGCCTCCTGATACAATGGATTACATCAAGTCCATCCCTCCCCAGGGCCTTTCTACTTGCTGAACCTACATTCCAGAATGCTCATCTCTCCAATCTTTCCCTCGCTGGATCCCTCTTATTTTCAGAGATTTGATCCAACTGTTCTCCGATTCGGTGCCTCTACTCCCTGTTTCTTGTCATTTCACCCTTTTTGATTGTGTGTAGCACATAGCACCATAAAAATCTTTTTAAAAAATATTAAACAGGCTGGTCTATAGTGCATGCCAGTAGTTTCAGCATCTGGGAGGCTGAGGCAGGAGGATCACAGAGAGTTTGAGACCAACCTGGGCTACAAAGTAAGCTCAAAGGCCCACCTGACTACATTGCAAGATCCTGCCTCAAAATCAATAAATCAATAAATACATAAAATTCACGTGTCAAAGCCAGGCATGGTAGTACACACCTGTTATCCCAGCACTTGTAAGGCTAAGACAGGAGGATCACCATGAGTTCAAAGCCAGCCTGGGCTATATAGCAAGAAAATCCTTCTCAAAAATAAAGTAAAATAAAATTAATGTTTCAAACTCTGACCTGAACTGCTGGCTATAGGATTCTGGAACTGAATTGCCTCTATAGCAAGGAGGCCAGCCAGGACCTCCCAGAATATCTCCCCCTTTAATGCACAGTGATTTTTTTTTCTCAGTACCTGGAATCGAACTCAGGATGTTGTGCTTGCCAGGCAGGCACAGCACTGCTGAGCTACATCTCCGGCCCCTCTCCCCCTTCAATGATTGCAACGGGCTCCCTATTAACATTCTCCCAACAAACAGGCCACCTCCCAGGTGATCACACATAACTCCATTTCCCTGTGGGACTGTTGTCCCTGACGGGCTGAAACTGAGATGACAGAAGCCGTATCTCTGTTGTGAGTTGCTGCCCAAACACAGTAGGTACTCCGTTTCACAGAATCACAGAAGGGCAGCACACAGTAGAGGCTAAAAGGCTAAATAAAAATAGGCGGGACCGACAGATTGCAGTACTGGTGACACAATAGGGGCGCTATATCACTGAGCTACTTCCCAGCTCTTCTCAGCTTTTTACTTTGAGATAGGGTCAAGTTACTAAATTGCCTAGGCTGGGCTTGAACTTGAGATCTTCCCGCTTCAGCTTCCCTAATAGCTGGGATTACGGGTATGTATCACTGTGCCTGGCTAAAATGTTTTGGATCTAGTTTTGTCACTTACTAGGCTTTGGACCAGGTCTACTTAAGTTGGGGCTCAGTTCTCCCATCTACAAAATGGAATAATAGCTTCCTCTATTGTATGAAATAAGTATATGTTGACTCAGTTCAAGTAATTTCTGCTGTTACTCTCTTCAGCAAATGGTCATCTAATACCTGTTACATCTAAATACATTACATACAGTGAGTAAGTGGGAACAAGTGAACTCACTGAGCTCAATGCAGCAGGCCACGAAGACAATAAAACAGAGCTAAACCAGGGTGATAGGGGACAGAACTTTAGCTGTGCTGAGGGGATGGGATTGTCAGGAACATGGTATTTCCATTGAGATGTGAAGGTGAGAAGGTGGTAAAATATTTGCTGGGGCCAGGCCTATCAACTCAGCACTCAGGCGACTGAGGAAGCAGGAGCACTGTCAGTACAGGCCCAGCCTGAACCGCATAGCAAGAGCCTTTCTCAAAAAAACAGAAAAAAAGGGGCCAGGGATTTAGCTCAGTGGCACCATGCCTGCCTCGCAAGTGTAAGGTCCTGAATTCAATCCCCCGTAACACACCAAAAAAAAAAAAAAAAAAAAAAATCTTCTTGTTTTCTTTGGTTAGGAAAGCACTTCTGACACAGGAGAACAGCAAATTCAAAACCAAAAGTCTTGAGGCAGGAATGAGCTTGGCTATTTGAAGAATGTCAAGGGCGGGGAATTTAGCTCAGTGGTTCCGCTGCCTGCCCCGCAAGCGCAAGGTCCTGAGTTCGATCCCCGGTACCAAAAAAAAGGAACATCAAGAAAACCGATGTGTACCAGGCCCAGTGTCGCCATGCTGTAATCCCAGCATTTGGGAGGCTGAGAGAGGAGGACCAATTGCCAAGAGTTTGAGGTCAGCCTGGACTACATAGTGAGTTCAAGTCCAGCCTGAGTATATTACAAGACTCTGTCTCAGAAAACAACAAAAAGGAAAATCAATATGGAGTTGGCATCCCATCACTCTGGGAGGCTCAGCAGGGAGAGACCACGACCTCAAGCCTAGCCTGGGCAATTTAGCAACTTTTAGTGAGGACCAGACTCAAAACGATTTGGGATGTAGCTCAGTGTAATGGCCCTGATTTCAATCCTCAGTACCACAAGCACAGTGCTGCTAGTATGGAGGGAGCAAGAGCAACAAAAGAACAACAAGCTCTGAACGTCGAGTTCTAGTGGAGTGGCCTGTAATAAATGCTTACTAAATAAGAAGTGTAAAGTTTGGGATTCAATACATATTTGATGGGAAGCCATAGGTGGGCTAAGCAGTGGACAGACTGATGATAATGGATTAGGCTGGAATGGGTAATTCGCTGTGCCTGGCTCCTACCTTCCAGGTCCACACCGTGGCGCTGGGCCAGATGGAGGACATTGTCCCCGACTCTGCCGCTCACCGGGATCCGCTGGCCTGACCGGTCTATGAACACCACATTCACCCTGGGGACAGACGGGGTGTGGGTGTCGACGTGCAGGACAAGCTCAGGGGCCTCATAGGGTCAGGAACTCGGGAATCGAGCTAGACGGGGATAAAAGAGGGCGAGGCAGATAAAGGACCCTGGAGAGAAGCTGCAGGGCATAGCGGGAACCCAGGAAACCTCGTGGGACGAGGAACGGGGCACTTGGCCCCTGCACTCACACGTCCCCGGGCCGCTCAGAGCCGCCGGTGTCCCCTTCTGCCGGGCGCCTGCCTAGAAAACAGTTGAGTGAGCGGAGGCGCCAGCCGTGCGGGCATCCAACTGGCTAACGCAGCCTGTCCCTGGCGATCGGGGTACCTGTTGTCCGGAATTTCCTGCTTCTCAGCGTCTCTGGGTCCCAGGTCCCGCTCCACCAGGAGGCCCTGGCAGCCCGCAGCAGGAGCCTGACACTCACGCCGCCAGGGACAGTGGGGGCGGCCATGACAGGCGTCACGTGACCCGGTGACTGGGCATGCGCGGCGCCGGCCAAGCGAGCAGAGGTCAGAGCGACGCGAACGTGAACTCGGTTTGCAAGGGATCCACGTGGTGTAAAAGAGCCGCGCAGGGAACCGCACACACACACACATATATGGGGTCATCAAACTTCCCACCCAGGTGCCCCTCTGTCCCAGGAACAAAACAGCTCTCATTTCTTTAAAACCATTTACTTACAAACTTTAATTCAGCAAAGGTCTGTGTGGGGAAGATGGGGAGGGGAAGCCCTGGAGTGGACGTGGGCCCGCGTCAGGGGAGGGGAGCTGGTGGGGTTGGGGCCCAGGGTCACCCCAGGTGCACAGGTCCTGCTGTGGGCAGGGTCTATCTGCAAGGAGTTGTTGGTTTCCAGCACTGGGCCTGAAGGAGGCCAGGACTGCGATCCTCCATCAGGCCTGAGGGGAGCTGGGGCGCATCTTCATGGGGAGAGGCCGAGGTTCAGGAGATAGCACAAGGCGGCCAACTTCCAGACACAGAGGGACTGGCTGAAGCCGGCTGAGAAAGCCTGTCTCTGTGCCCAGGCCTGGGTGGACAGGGTGGGATGGGGGTGATGTGCCAAGACCAAGGCTTTGACCTTCTACCGTCCCCAGGGTGGATCCCCCAGGTGGAGGGGCCCAAGCCTGAGGCCAGAGCTATTTGGTCCTGAGTCAAGCTTCCGGAGCTCGGCGTCTGAGACGCTCTGGCCAGCAAGGCAGGCAGCCCAACGTTAAGGCATCAGAAGGCCAGGGGACTGTGGCAAGGAGCAGAGGTCCAGGACAAGGCATTGGCCAGAGTGGGCAGGCAGTGGCAAGAGATGCCGTGCCTGCAGCAGACGGGTGAAAATCGGAAGTGTGGAATGGAGGCCCGGACAGGTGGGACCTTGAAGGAATCAGAGCTGGGGGTTCATCTGAGATGGCTTTAAAAAGAATAAAAATTAGAAAAGGAAAAAAACAGTCAACTGTCAAAATTAAAAAGGGGGCGGGGGGACAGTCTCTGATCTTCACGGGAGGTCAGGGAAACCTCCAAGGCACTCAAAAGGCCAAAACACAGGAGTGACAAGGCAGGAGGGGACCCCGACAAAAGCCAGGCCCAGGCAAGGACAGGAGCGGGCGGGGGAGAGAGCAGGCCGGGCCCCTCTCTCTTAAGGCTGTGGGTTCCCACACCCGGAGCAGTCTGGAGGCGCAGAGCAGCCGGGCACCCCCATACTCTTTGGGCTCTGGCTGGTTGGTCAGCAAAGTCTTTCAGATTTCAGAGATTTCTCTATTACCCGAAAGAAAATTTAAAAAACAAGAACAAAAACAACCACAAAACAAAACACCAGAAAGCCCCAAAGCATCCCTTAAAAAATCCTCTTCCGCTTCAGGTAGGAGTCTGCGTAGTGGCCACCGAGGCCCTGGGAGTGCTGGCCCACGTAGCTGCCCTCTGGGCTGGGCTCAGGTGAGGGCAGCAGGTGGGCAAAGCTTCGTTTCTGGCCGCCCAAGGGGGTCTGGAGACAGAGGGCATGGGCGGCCGGGTGAGGGGGCGCCCCACGGCCGGGCCTCCCCAGCCCTGTGCCTCCCCACCCCCTGACCGTACCTTCAGCAGGTGGCTGTGGCCATTGGGGCCCGGGCCGAGGCCCAGGAGCCCCTCACCGGAGCCCAGCGGGGAGGAGCCGGCTGCCTGGAGAAAGGGGAGAGCACAGGTCACTTCCTCATTTCCGAAGGGTGGGGGTTCAGCTGTTCTAGTCTCACACCTGCCACTTGCAGCTGTGGCTGGGGTGCTGAGATCACAGCACCCTGGAGGGAGGCCCGCCGCCCGCAGGCCGGCCATCCCTGGGGTCCTGCTCCTTACCTTGCTGAGGTGGCTCTGCTTGAGGCCAGCCTGCAGGCCACTGGTGAAGTAGGAGGTGGGCGAGCCCGAGTAGAAGTGAGAGAGAGGCCCGCCGCCACCTCCGCCACTCCGCTCGCTGAAGCCACTGGGCGGAGGGGACATCTGCAGAGAGCAGGGGTGGCCGAGTGGGGAGGGATCCCCCCAAAATGTTCTGGGCTCAGCCGGAACAACTGTCACGGGAACAGCTGGCAGGTGAGCTTGCCCTTTAACCTCCAGGGAAAATATCTAGAGCCACCCACAATGGCCTATGCCTGGAGTCCCAGCTCCTAAGGAGGCTGAAGCAGGAGGATCGCTTGAGCCCAGATCAAAGCCACCTTGGACAACACAGTGAGACCTCGTTGCACAGAATAAAGTCTGCTGTGCTTAATAGCAGGTGGGGTCACTTGTTATGCAGCCAGACGTACTTGTTGCACCCAGAGGCAAGGTGTACATGTGCCTCTTACCTTGTGTCGACTGGGTCCATGAGGCCCTAGGGCTGACTCCCGGTGGGAGAAGAGCCGCCGAGGTCCTAGGTCCTGAATGGAAAGGACAGGGTCACGTGAGGCAGGTCTGTGCCAGTCTCAGTCTGGGCTCAGTTCTGCAGCACAGCAGAACCAGGGCGCTCAGAGGGCAAACTCAGCCTGTGGGGCAGTGGGAATGGGACCAGATGTGCGTTCTGTCCCAGGGCAGAGGTGCCTGGGTCCCCGTGATGACCCAGAGGTGGTCAGCAGTTCTGTTTTCAAGGCATGCTGGGAACCCTGGGAGTATGAACCTGTTCCATTTTCATAGTTGGCATTTATTTCAGCTGTTTAGTTTAAGCCTATGTGGGCCAAACATAACAGGTATGAGCTGCAAGGGGCCAGGAGCTTCTGAACAGGAGGCGGGGTCACAGGAGGACTAAACTCCAGGAATCAGATGGGACACAAATGGATGGACGGACAGGACAGCTAAAGCCTCACAGGAGAGAGACTGGGGAGAAAGGCCGAGAACGTGTAGGTCCTAGGATGGACAGACAGACAAGGCAGGGTTGCCAGGCAAGGCCAGAAAGACAGACTTGCGGTTAGGACCACGCTGGGCAGGTTCCCTGCAGTGTCCCTAATGCTTGGCCTGGCATAACCAATACTAAAGAAATACAATAGGCCCAGGCATGAGAGCACATGCCTGTCATCTCAGCATTATGGGAGGCTGAGGCAGGAGGATTCTAGCCTGGGCAACCATGCAAAGCCCTGGCTCAAAATTAAAAATAAAAAAAAGGGCTGGGGATGTAGCTCAGTGCAAGGGTTTAATTTATAGTACCACACATATACAAACACACCGAAAACCGGGTTGAGTTTTAGACTTCAGATCTTTCCGGAGTTTGGATTTGAGAATGATAATGAGGTATCTGGAGAAGAGAACCCAACTTGAAAGGACGTTCACGTCCATTTCAGACACACCCTACATGCACAGCAGCTCATTTTGTACACCATTCTTTGTACGTCTGCATTCTGCGGTCAGGGCCAGCTCTGATGTGGTGCTCAGTTTCAGAAGCAGTCGGGCAAGGCGGCGCACACCTGTAATCTCAGCTGTTCAGGATACTGAGGCAGGAGGATCACAACTGAGACCGAGACCAGACTGGGTCACTATGCAAGACTCCATCCCATATAAAACTGAAAAGGAGCTGGGGATATAGCTCAGTGCTCCCTGGGGTCCATTCTCAGTACTGCCAAGGTGGGCACGGATGGTATCACCTGTGTGTCACCCCAGCACTCAGGAGGCCCAGGCAAGACGATAGTCTGAGGCCAGTCCCGGCAACTAACTGCCTCAAAACAAGGGTTTTGGAGCTTGGGACCTTCTGGATTGAAAATTTTGGGGTTAGGGATGCCACCCTGCAACAGTTTAGAGAATGACCTAGTCGGGGGACAAAGGGCCACAGCAGCTGACCCTTGGGGACGGCGGGGCTAGGGCAGCTAGGTACTCACCAAGGGGTAATCAAAGCTGTAGCTGTCGGGCAGCCCGGGCTCTGGGGGCAGGCGGGAGCCGGCGAGGGGGCTGAGAAGGCGGGACTTGAGCGGGAAGGCTTTGCTGCCGCTGCCACTTGTACCAGCGCCCCCACCTGGGGCTGGGGCGTTGGGCAAGGATCCCTCGGGCTGGCGGCGGCCTCTCGTGACACACCCCCAGCCCCGGGCTTCCTTGCCAGCCAGGTTGCTAGCCGGGAGCAGGCTGTGCAGGTTTAGGTAGGGATTCAGGGGGATCCGGTAGTCCTTGGGGGGCTCTCCCAGCAGTGAGACCTGTGACAGAGGGCTAGATTCACCAGGGGCACGGGCGGAGGGGGGCACAGGGCAGGAGGCAGGAACGGCACAGGCACAGGGTGCAGCCTTACCCCAGGGGTTGTGGGCAGGGGCCCGCTGTCCTTCTGTAGGCCCCTGAGACCCGGGCCGCGGATCCCCACTGGAGCAGCGGGTGGGGTGAGCTGGGCTGCAGGGGGACCCAGGCCCATGGGCTCCCGGTCAGCCCCAGAGGGGCCCAGCAGAGGTGGCAAGAGGGGTGGTGGCTTTCCTCGCCGAGGTGGCAGCTCCGGGGCCAGGGTCCCCCCTGCAGAGAGAGCAGAGTGACGTCAGGGAATCAGCCCCAAGGCCCTTTCTTCCGGGGCCGCAGCTAGCACAGACCAAAGGTGTCCCAGGGCACCAATCCCCAGGAAGCCCTGGCTGCCCCATGACGGGGACATGCCACTCTCAGTGACAGATGAGAAGACTGAGGCCCAGGGAGGAAAGGGGCTGGGCAAGGGAGAGGGAAGGTGCCCAGGAGAGTTGGGGTGGGTGGGTCTGTGTTACCTGCTGTCAGGTCCCCGAGGAGGGGGTTGGCTGGCTGGGGCCCACCCTGGAGAGGGCCCAGGGGCGAGTCTCCCAGGATCCCGGGCTTCTAGAACAGACACAGTCAGCTGTGGACGGGGATGGGGTGAACTAGGTAGCAACTGACGTCACCCCAAGTTCTTGGCGATCACAGGCACACACACATGCGGCCTGTGGTACCCCAAGGCCCCGGGGGGACAGAGGCTGTACCCAGCATGTCAGGGCCACTCAACCTCCTGGCCGAGCACACACCAGTGTGACAAGAGTCACACGATGTGTGACAGCCAGAGGGTTTTGGTTGCATGTAGTCCCACCATGCCCCAAGCATACACATTCACTGTCACCACCAGACACAGCCCATCCCTGACTGGGCCCCAGCAAAGCAACCCACACACGCCCCTCAGACTCGCCTGTACCCCAGCATCTGCGGCCCTGCACCTGTGCACACCCGTATGCGGAAGGGCAGGACATTCTTCCCCAGCACAGGGATGGGGCGGGGCTCCCCAGCCACACCTGGTCTTTGGCTATAAGTAGGTGTGTCCGGCTGCCCTCACCCTGCTCTGGCTACCAAGGCGGGCTGTCCTTCGCAGGGCAGAGACAGACCCCCGTGAGAGGGGCGAGTCCCACCATCCCATGGCACGAGGGTGGCATGCGGGGGGTTAGGCAGGGGCAGGCAGGGCTGCCGGCGGGGGTGCAGGAAGACCACTGTTACCTTATGGCTCTGGGCCTGCAGGGCGAGCTGCAGCAACGCCGTGGACAGAGCCGGCCCGTTGAGCAGTGGCATGGCAGGGGGCGCACCCAGGAGGCCTGGGGAAGATGCAGCGAGCTGGGTGAGGGCCCTCAGATGGGCACCTCTTTCCCCTACCGCTCAACATAGGCCTGGCTGCAGGTGGGGCAGCAGAGGAAGGGGCTGGGGAGGGCAGGGCGCATTGTGGAACAGGCCCCGGTTCCCACTGTCCTGCCTCTGGGAGGGACCTCCACCGGCCTGGGGCCCCACGCTTACCCTGCTTGCCCCCTGCGCTGCTGTGGAGCAGGGGGTTGAGGAGCAGCTGCAGGGAGGCGGATGGGCCCAGGTTGTTGAGCAGCTGCAGGATATTAGGCTCAGGCAGGAGCCCCTTGCCGCGGTTGAGGGCCTGAGGAGGGGACAGGGCAGCTGAGCACCGCCTGGCTGCGGTGACGCACCATGCCCACCCGCACACCCCTCCCGCACACTCACCGTGGCCTGGGCAGCAATGAGTGCAGCCAGCATGCTGCGGCCAGGGGGCCCCGGGGCGCAGAAGGACACGCGTAGGTGGCTGCCCCCCAGGGCCAGGCCGTCAGCCCGCTGCTGTGCAGCCTCGGCCATCTCCGCAGTCTCGTACTCCAGCACCGCGAAGCCCTTCAGCTGCCCGTCCTGGCCGCACGCCAGCTGTGGGGAGGCTCTCATGAGGCGGAGGCTGCCAACACCCTGAACCCAGGGGTAGCCCCAAAAGGGTCAGGCGCTGCACTGGGCCGGGGCAGTGTCCCTTCAAGGCAGTAGAAGCCCTGCTCCTGTACCAGCCTGGAAGGTTACCACATTTTGCAGAGGCGACAACTGAGGCCCAGACAGGGCAGTGCGGCTAAGGCCACACTGCAAGGGAAGCAGAGCCAGGGCCTGGCTCACAGGAGTCAACTGCACAAGGCCTCTTGCCAGTGCCACTGACTGGGATTCCCCAGCACACTGAGACTCCAGGACCGAGGGCTCAAGGTTGAGCAGCTGGGCACAGAGGCACGGTCACAGTTGGCAGGGACACCTCTCCTGCAGGCCCACAGCCCCTCATCTGCAGCCTTGGGTAGTCGAGCTCCAGGGCGCGCCTGCTGGAGACTGGAAAGGTGGGTGCTGTGCACACTGAGTACTACACGACAGTCCCTGCTGTGGGGCGAGGCAGCTCCCGCTAAACAAATGACAGCCAGACACGGAGAAAGAGGCCACAACCAACCAGGTCAGTCAGGCCTTGCTGCCACCTATACAACTCCACAAACCTGTCTCCTGGTTGTCAGGGCACAGTGAGTGCTGCAACCGCAGTCGGACTGCTCCAGAGGGAGCAGGTGCCCAGACAGCACCCGGCCCCGGCCCTGCCTGGCTCCAAGCGACCAGCTCCAAATGCCATGGCCAGAGTCACTGCACAGCAAAGGTGGAAACTGAGGCTCCAAGAAGGCAGCCCCTTACCAGGCCAAGCCAAAGCAGGGGCCAGAGAAGGCCAGGCTGGTGCCCCTTCATGAGATTTGCCTGGGTGGCAATGGCTGTCCTCCCTTGTCCCAGTTCACACTGTCATGGTCTGGGACCAACATCATGTCTCTAAATTGACACATGGGACAGCTGCAAAAGGAGTGAGAAAAAGTTTGTGTCCAAACCGAAAGGTGCCAGTGGCGAAGCAAGTGGGCACAGGAGGCTGAGACAGGAATACAGCAAGATCAAGCCCAGCCTGGCAAATTAGGAAAACCCTGTCTCAAAAAACAAAATTAAAGAGGGCTGGCTGGGGATGTAACTTGGTGCTCTCTGAGTTTAATACCCAGTACCAAAGCAAACCAAACACGGTGGAGAAACTAAACCAAACCAGATAGGAAGCTGGGTGTGATGCTCCATACTTGGAAGCCCAGCACTGGGGAGGCTGAAGCCGGAGGATCGCTTGAGCCTAGGAGTTTGAGATCAGCCTTGGGCATCATAGTGAGGTCCCACTTCAGAAAAGACGGAATCAGTTTTCAGTGTTTCCTATTTCAGAATTTCAGAGGAGGGGCTCACCCTCCTGTGTGATTTTGATGGAGCGGACAGGGTGAGCCAAAGAAGGTACAGGGAGCTTTTGCCAATGGACCTTTCAGGATGTGAGGATGCTAACGTGTGACTGACTATGCAGTAACAAAAATACGCAGCGGAACACACTCTTCCTTAACACCCAAGGTCTACTATACCAGCTTTATTTCGCATTAGTACAGCAGTACTGAGGGTCGAACCTGGAGTCTCGCGTGCGTTAGGCGAGCGTCGTTGTGGACACTGAGCTTCAGGCAAACCCTGTCTGTTTTCTATTTGGAGACGGGGTCTCACTAGGCACGCGCCACTCATGCTGGCCTCGAACCTGCGCCTCCCAGGTGGTGTGCGCCACTGCACCTGGCTGTTCTTTGCTTGGTGATGGGTCTCACACGTGCTAAGTCTCTGCCCTAGCACTGAGTCGCACCCCAGCTTGTGATACCTGCTTTATATATTTCCACAGCAAACTGTTTTGCCCCTTCCCTACATAGGAGTATTTTCAAGCAACCATGTATTAAAGCAATTAAGATCTAAATCTGCCTGTGAATCAAAGGCAGGAGACACAGCAGCGGGTTTGTCCTTGGGGTTCCCATGTTGATTATATAAAAAATAACACGCCTGTGACCACGGCAAGCTCCCCAGACACACATTGCCCGCGGGGCGCAGGGCCCAGGTCAGCTGGGTGATCTCTTGCCAGCTGGCTGACCTGGTGCGCGCGCACACACACACACACACATACATGCATTCCTGTCTCTGTGTCCCTATCTGGAAAATGGGAGGCAACCAGACCCCACCTTGTGGGGTTGTAAATGTTCAGCAAAGGTCTGAGGTGCGGCTTGGGGGCCAGTGCCCGCCTAGCGTGTGTGAGGACTGGGCTCCACCCCCAGCCCCATGTAAATAGAAGACTAAACAAATGCCTGGGGAGCCAGGTGTGGTGATACACACCTGGAATCCTAGCATTCAGGGAAGCCGAGGCAAAAGGCTAACATTTGATTCCCACCTAGGCAATTTAGCAAGACCCCATCTCAAAATCAAAAAAATAGGGGTCGGGATTTAGCTCAGTGGTTCCACTGCCTGCTTCACAAGTAGGAGGTCCTAAGTTCAATCCCTGGTACAAAAGAAAAAGAAAAAGAAAAAGAAAAGAAAGGCTGGGGATGTAGCTCAGTGGTTGAAAGCCCCTGGGTTTGAACCCTTAGTACTAAAAAAAAAAAAAAAGAGTATTTTTTTTTTCCTTCCAGTACTGGGGATCCAACTCAGGACCTTGCCCTTGTGAGGCAGGCATGGTGCCACTGAGCTAAATCCCCAGCCCTGAGAGAATGTTAAATAAATAAATATCCTAGGGGATGTGTAAGTAGAGGAACGAATGGGCAGCCATTCAAATGAACCCACTCAGAAAGCATGACTAAGACCAGGACGTAGTAAACACCAGTAGCCCCAGCTACTCAGGAGGCTGAGAGAAGAGGATCATTTAGGCCTATCGGTTCAAGACTTGCGATGCAACACAAGGGGACCTCATCTAAACCAACTGCTGGGCATAGTGGCACACGCCTATAATCCCAGGAAGTCGGAGGCTGAGGCAGGAGGATTGCTACATGTTTGAGGCCAGGCCTGTGGTACACAAAATCCTGCTTCAAAAAAGAAAAAAAAAAAAGAAAGAAAGAAAGCAGTACTAGCTTCATTTCAAGATGGGGAAACTGAGGCACAGAGAACTTGCAGCAGGTCATGGCCCCTGTCCTCAGGCCCCATACCAGAGGACAAGGTCACTGAGCAAATTCCAGTCAGGTCTGGAGTAGCTGTGTGGCAGAAAGGACGAACCATGCAGGACACAGGAGAGAGCCGCGGGCAGAGATGTCACACGGGGGCTGGGCCCACAGAAGGTCCAAGATTCGGGGCTGAACCCAGCAATGTCCCTCAGCCCTACGCTGGCCATGTTACGATCCTGGCACTGCCTGGCCCTGGTGGAACCCCACGAAGCAGTGTCCCCACCTGGAAACGGGGCAGTGCCCGACTCTCTGGGCTGTTACAGAATGGTGAGGGCTGGGCCCGACCCACTCCTGCCTGGGCACCTGGCCCAGGGAAAGGCACGCACACACAAGGGCCCAGCACCTGCTCTCAGAGCCCCTACCCATTCGGCTCACCTGGCAGAAGGTGGGTGTGTGCACGGCCGACAGTGCCTGGCGCAGGGCATCCACGTCGCTGAAGCCAGGGGGCAGGTGGTCTACACAGAGGCAGCGTGAGTGCAGCAGGGCCGGCGTGAGCTGGCCCGCATCTGTCCAGTGCACGTACAGCGTGCGCGGGCCCAGTGGCTTGCCCAGCAGGTCCGACTTGGCGCGGGCAGCCGAGTCCTTCTTCATGTATTCTGCAAAGCCGTAGCCCTTGGAGTGGCCGGTGTGCTCACTGTAGACCAAGAAGCAGCGCTCCAGGCTGCCGAAGGGCCGCACCAGCTCCTCAAACTGTGCCTGTGTGAGGCTTGGGGGCAGGTTGGCCACACACAGCAGCGCGTCCGTGGGCTGCAGCTGCACGGACAGCTCGCGCTCCCGCAGGTGGCTCTGGTGGAAGGCACTGATGGCTGCCTCAGCCTGCTCCCCATTCAGCAGGGTCACAAAAGCTGCACACAGGAGGGACGTGGGATAAGCAGGGCCCCTGAGGGCCTGCTCACAGGCCTACCCCTTGAAGCACTTGTGACCTCAGGACGGGGGCCACCGGGACATCCCAGGTCACAGCTGCTCCAGGCAGCTGAGCACTAGTGTGCGAGGGGGCCAGCTAGTGCCTCCTGCAGGCAACCCGTGTCCCTCTGCAGCCCAGAGCAATCAGGCCAACCATACCCATGGCTGCACCCTAAGACCCACGTGACAACAGGGTGCCACCAGGGCAGGGATGAAGCTGGTGGTCACTGGTGCCAGGTTTAAGCCTCAGATTCTGGGACTTTAGGTGTCAACCTTCCCATCTGTTCAACAGGAATGAGGGAGCCTCCCAACACCTGGAGGAGAAGTGGGCTCACAGCAGCACCCCTGCCAGGGGAAGGGCCCTTGGACACAAAGAACTTGGCAGTGGCATGGCCGGCAGTCCTAGCTTTCTGGAAGCTTGAAGGCAGGAGGAGCACCTGAGCCCAGAGTCCAGGGCCAGCCTGGGCAACACAGCGAGACCCCACCTCTTAAGACCAAGTCAAGTCAGGGAAGGGCACGCCTGTATTCCCGGCACTCGGAGGCTGAGGCGAGACGCTGGAGTTGTGGCCAGCATGGGCTATAGACCAAGTTCAAGGCTAGCCTAAGGTACAAAGTGAGACCCCAATTCAAGAAAACAAATCAAATCAAATAAGCCAGGCACAGTGGTGCACACCTGTAATCCCAGCTATTCAGGAGGCTGAGACAGGAGGATGGCAAGTTCTAGAATATGCCAGACACCCAGAGCATTAATTCATCACCTGTTACTCGCTGACAGCCAGCGTGAGGATAAAGCAGGGTTCCAATTTGATATCTGTCTGTCCCTGGCCCACCGGGTAGGTCTCCAAGGGACATATTTGCACCCAGGTCAGATTCGAAGCAAGGCTTTGGCCTACCTCTCAGACAGTTTTGAGAGAGGAAAATGATCAGGGTCAGCTTTAATGTGATGGGGATCCGGGGGAAGGCAGGTGACAGCATGAAGGGTTGGAGGCAGTAAGGCCAGAGGGAGGCAGAGACAGAGGGGACGGGGACCAGGCAAAAGCCAAAGTGGCTCGAAGGAGAAGCACAGGTAGGCCTGGTGACTGGTTAGCTGGGGCAAGTGGGGTAAGAGGGTGAGTCCAAGGCCCAGAGGAAAAAGTGGGGGGGGGCGCCTGGGATGCCAGGCAGGCGGTGACCTGCTGCACTAGGATCAGGGACAGTGTTGGGACTGAAGTTCAGAAGGCACTGAGCCAGGACCCTCTCATCTTCCAGGACTGTCACCTCCTGCCCACCTGGCCCACCCTGTGGCCGCACAAACCTGTCCCTTTGTATTTGTCCACAAAACAGTACTTGAGCTCATAGTCGCCGAGTAGATCATGTACTTCCTGCACAGAAAGAAGCCAGAGGACAGGGAGTCACTAGGGACAGAAGGGACTTCCACCTTACAAATGAGTGTGGCCACATTATTTGCCCAAGGCCATTCAGCTGCAAAGGTGGATTTGCCCACTCTTAACACTTAGCTTTCAGGGAAGCTGCTGAGCCTCTATCTGCAAATCTTACTAACAACGCCACCCAGTTACTTATCAACAAATCCATGGTGAGGTGAGGGAACTGAGGCTCAGAGAAGTTAAGAAACACTTCAGAAGGCCTGAGGCTGGTCAGGGCAGCAGCAGGAACAACATTCGGGGCTGCCTGGCCAGGGAGGACAGGTAGTTAAAAGCCCACACCGGACAGCTCTTGGCCTCCCACTCCCTCCTGTCGTCAGGGTCACCCTCTCGTTAGCCAGCTTTGAGGGTGAGGAACCGAGGCCTGCTTGTAGCTCCAGAAACAAATCAGAACACATACGGTGGACTTTTACCCACCATTTGGTCTGTCCCCAAATCATGCCCTTCTAAAACCCTTGGGGTCCTACTAGCCAGTACCTACCCATGGGCAAAGAAGGCCCATGGCACGTATGTTGGTGGGCTCGAGAGTGGAGATTCCCAAGACCAGGGATGTGAACCTTGCCATTGCACTGTGCTAGGGCAGGGCAGGGCAGGGCAGGATATATGGCATTTCGCTGGGTCCAAAGAGCACTAGGAAGCCCTGCCCCATGTCGGTCCCCAGACAAGGGTGCTCCTGGCAGCCAGATTAGCCAAGACAAGCTCCACAGATCATCCCCTCCACTTTCCTGTAGATTTGAAAAAAGTTGGCAGGAAACCTCATTTTCCCAAATCAATCCCGGACCTTTGGAGGCCTCTCCAACTTCCGGCTCTCTCTCAGAAGCATGGATCAGTGTAGTAGGAAAGGGAATACTCTAACCCCGAAACTTCTGGATATGAGATCCTGCCAACCCGATTTAGTCGACTGGGGAAAAGCACAATCCGAGGTGGGGGTCACCTGGAATCCCCGTTTCCACCCCTCCCAACTTGGCAGCCCATTCCCGAACCTCCAGCGAGTCTAAAGTTGCCCGTCCCCTTCTACTCTCCACCCCCTTCAATCGCTTAGCCTCGCCCAAGCCAGTGGTCGCCCCTAGCAACGGCCTCCCTCAGTCCAAAGTTGGTTTCTCCCCTCACCACGGTCCCCCACATCTCCTTCGTTTTTGGTCTCTCCCGACCCCGCGAGGATCCCGCGCTCGGACGCCCCCGCCGGCACCCCCCCAACAGATGCCAGCGCTGGTGCCGCCCGGTTTCCCTCGCGCACGCGCACGGTGATATTTCCCGCCACGCTCCCACACCGCCCCCCCATACCTGGTTGGTCACGTCCCCCGGGAGGCCCCGGATCAGTATCTTGCGGCGGTTACGAAACTGTCGTTCGGTGTGTTCCAGGCGTTTCCGGATCTCTTCTGGATCTAGTGGCGGCAGCTCTTCGGGCGCCCGGCGTTCTGCAGTCTCGGTGGCTTCAGCCTCGGCCCCAGGCTCGGGGCTCAACGGGGGCCGGTGAGTAACGGACACGTCGGCCGCCATCTTGGGAAACCCGGCGCCTTCTGGGACCAGCGAGCCTGGGCGGAGCGGCATAGAGCGGCAAAGACCACGCACCCTGCCGATTGGCCGAGGAAATCCCCGCCTCCCTCCAGACCTCTCCAGCCCATTGGCGGAAGCCTGGCCAGCCTCTCAGAGTAGGGGTGCGTCAGGGTCACCATAGACACCGCCCCCTTCCGCAGTCTCGGTGCCATTCAATAGAATCGCGGAGCCCTGGAGAGAGCCCAGCCGAAAGGAAGGAATCCAGCCACACACTACGGAGTTTAAAGGCTTTATTGGTGGGAAATTCTAAGGTACAGCCACAGTCCTCTCCGTCTTTGGCCCAGGATCCCGACATCCCTCAGATCAGGAAGCCTCTTCCCCCGGTGTGTCTTCAGGCTGCTGGATTGCCGTGAGGGGCACCGAGTTGCTTTGCTGCTTCACGTGGTAGATGCCGCACCGTTTCTGCATCCCGAAGACGTACAGTAAGGCCCCTGAGGTAATGATCACGCCCAGGACCGTCAACACCGTTAAGCCGATGGTGACCGAGTGGCCCCGACCTGCACAGAGAAAACTGGGAGTAAATATTCGTGCCCGGACCCTCATGGGCTTTCTTCTCCAGCGCCGCAGCCCTTCTGGCTCCTTGCCCTGCGGGCTGGCCTCCGGCAATGATAACAGACTTTTTGGTGTAACTTGACACGGAGTAGGATACCAGATACCGAGGGTACGACCAGCTCTTATGACCAAAGCCTCCTAGGATACAGCCTCGAGGCTGGATTGCCGCGAGCCACGCACTGCACTACAGGAGTAGTGCTCTCTCTGTCTACTCCATATGCTGGGGTCATTCGGCCTGGTCAGCCTGTTTTTTTGAGACAGAGTCTCGCTGTGTAGTCCAGGCTGGCCTCAAACTCCTGATGATCCTCCTGCCTCAGCTTCTCAAGTGCTGGGATGACAGGCTGACAGGCATGCGCCACTACACAGCTATGGGACCCTCTGTAGAACCACCAGGTGACCAGACACCCCAAACTCCAGAGGTACAGGGAAAAGGCAAGGCAAGGCAGTGAGGGTTTCAAAGGCCCGGGTGACCAACTCACCCAGGACACGCAGCTGGACAGCCGTGCTCCTATATATGAGCTCTCCGGCCACCTCGAGGGTGGCGTTGCAGATGAAGTAACGTCCGTTGTCGCTGTCAGTGGCAATGAGCTCAAGCTGGGCAGGCTCCCCCGGAGATGGGGCCAGAACCCCATCCAGTCTGACCTGGGCTCGGGGTCCGGCCTTGCAGGTCACATTCACTGTGGACCCCTTGGGGACGTTGGTCCTGCTCAGTCTCAGAATGGGCCCTGGGAAACCTAAGGTTTTTGGCAGAGCATTGCCCAGAGACTTAGTGACCATGACTGTCCTCTGGGTCGAGCCGCCCCTTTCCTCCTGGGTATCCAGATCTCCTATCCCTTTTCTCCTGGGTACTGAGGATCGAACTCGGGACCTTGTGCTTGTGAGGTAGGCAGCGGAACCACTGGGCTAAATCCCCAGCCCTGGATCTCACTTTCTTGGCGCATATGTTTACCCAGGCCCCGCCCACACGGCAATGTCTGTTTGGGCAACTCAGGCTCCGCCTTCCCTGATATTTCATATCCTCCACATGCTCTGCCCCTCAGCCGACTCAGCCACGCCCTGGCCCCTAAGGTCACGCCCTTCACCCACCCACCCCTCTTACTGAAGACCGTTGTCAATTTCTGTGCAGAGCGACTCACGCCCGCCAAAGTCACGTTGCACACAATCTTCTGGGTCCCCTCTTGGTCCAAGCGCACTGTGGCGGTAGCATTGAGTGTGTCGCCATCCCTCGTGACTGTAGGATTCAGTGTCTGGTTTCCCAGCGCCAGGTGCACCTGGGCCTCAGAGGCCGGGAAGAGGCCATCTAGAACACAATGCACCTGCCTCCTTGTGCCCACCTCCAAGGACCTGGGGGCCAGCAGGTGCGGAGATGTCACTGGCAGGGCTGGTGAAAAGAGGAGATGTAAGCAGGCAGCCAACAGGGACAGTTTCATCCCCAGAACAGGGTCCTCTGGATTACTTGCTGTATTTGGTTTGTTCTTTTGAGACAGGGTCTCTCTGTGTAGCCCAGAATGGCCTTGAGGTCACGGCAATCCTCCTGCCTTAGCCTCCCAAGTGTTGGGATGACAGGCATGCGCCACCACGCCCGGCAGTCCTCTTCATAAGGCGACTTGAATTTCAGTAAGGGTCACCCACTTTCAAGGACCCCTCCTCCCCGGGAGCCCCCGCC